CAACTCTCTTTTCAGTGTTCTGCAAGTTCACTCTGATGGATACAGGTGGGATTACTTTTTTCCCTTTGTTTGGAAGTCTTTAGTTTTTTAGAATCTGTGGACTTGTATCTCTCATCAGTTCTGGAAAAATCTCAGTCATTTTTCTTCAGACATGCCTCTGCCTCATAAGAATTATTTTTTACCCACTGTCTGCATTTTCCATTTTTTTCTTCTCTGTGCTATATTCTGGATAATTTCTTTTGTGTGTTGATCTTATATCTTGAGAACTTGCTAAATTCCCTTATTAAGTCCAGGGAGTATTTTGTAATTCCTTTGGATTTTTTAATGTAGATAGTCATCTCGTCTGTTAATAGGGATAGTTTTATTTATTCCTTTCTAATCTGTATGCTTTTTATTTCCTTTCCAATATTTTTTTCCTTTACTGTGCTGGCTAAGACTTCCAGTACTATGTTGAATAAGAGTGGTAAAAGTAGACATCTATTTTTTTTTCCTTGTTCCCGATCTGAAGGGGAAAGCATTCAGGCTTTAACCCTTAAGTACGATGTTAGGTTTTTTGTAGATATGCTTTACCAAGTTGAGGAGGTTCGCTTATATTCCTAGTTTGCTGAGAGCTGTTATCATAAATGGGTGTTGTGAGATGGTAGGAGTAGTAGTAGCATCAGAACCTGTCTAACTTCAGAGGGGTAATGACCAGAATTGAGATCAGTCTAAGACTGATTCCCATGAGGTGGAGGTCAAACATACCTCTGCTCTCCAACCTTTTTACCAATTCTGACACCAGGCATCCTTCCCGCAGCACCTTCTACTTCTCTTCTGGGTTCAATAAACCATTACAATGAGCACACAGAACTCACAGACCATACTAACAGTTAAGCGGTTTATTAAGGAAGTAACAGGATACAACTCAGGATCAGAATCAATAGGCTAAGGGTCCGGAAGCAAAGTCTTCCTTCTTCAGTGCAGGACAGCTTTCTCTGCTCCTCTTGGCTATGCAAGCAAGCAGGCCCTTGTCTCTGCTCTCGGCTGTGTAGGCAACCTCTCAGCCCCCTGAGGACAGACCTCCTCTTGGCCTCCTGAGGACAAGCTCCTCTTGACCCTGCTGTCTGTCACCACCGACTCTGATGCTTGGGCCCCTTCAGGGCCTGTCGCTGTCTTCAGTGTTATAGTCCTTGAACCATGTCACAGCTCTTTTAGAAGGTTCCTTGCCTCCTCTCTTTCCGCTTCTCTCTTCTTTCTTCTTTCTGCTTCTGTCTTCCTCTCTGAAAAACCTGTGGGATTGGCTGCACATATACACATACTCCTCATTGATTTCAAGGCATGGCCCTCCCGTTAGGGCCACGAACTGACCAATCCCCTCTTGGTAGGCCACACACTTCATTTGCACAGTAGGCTGTATTTTCATCTGCATTGTCTATAGTCATTTCATTTGTATAGTGTATTGACCAATCCCTGCAAGGTGCATACCAATCATAGGGCAGGCTGCAGCCCATGATGAAACAAAAAGTATCAAATCACAAATTGTTTACAGATTATCAGAAAATATAACAAACCTTCTGGGGTAGAAAACTAGGGCAAGGGTAACTCCTCAGGCTTAGGGGAAAAATCTCTCGAGCTGTTTTTCCAAAGACTCAAGGCAAAAGGCCACATAAAGGAACTCATTTCACCACAGGTGTTGAATTTCATCAAATGCTTTTTCTCTATCAGTTGACATGATCATATGATTTTTTTTTTTAGTCTGTTGATATGATGGATTAGGTAGGTTTATTTTCAAGTATTGAACCAGCTTTGCATACTTGGAATAAACCCCATTTGGCCATGTTGTATAATTATTTTTACATATTATTGGATTCAATTTGCTAATATTTTGTTGAAGATATTTGCATCTATATTCATGAGCAATATTGGTCTGTAGTTTGTGTGTGTGCTGTCCTTGTCTGGTTTTGGTATCAAAGTCATACTGCCCTCATAAAATGAATTGCGAAGTGTTCTCTGCTTTTTTATAGAATTGGTGCTAATTCTTGAAATGTTTGGTATAATTCTCCAGTAAAACCACCTGGGCCTGGGAATTTCTTTTGGAAAGCTTTTTAATTACAAATTCCTTCTATTTGAATAGTATAGACCTATTTAGATGATCTATTTCATATCAGGTGAGTTTTGGTAGTTTGTTTTTGAGGAATTGGTTCATTTTATCATCTTGTTAAATTTATGTGCGTGGATAGTTGCTTTTGGCCTAACTTCCAGTTGACTAATTCTCCCTGAAGGTGTATCTAAACTACTCTTAGACTTGTCCATTGACGGGTTTACAATTATTTTTCATTTCCAAAAGTTCTAGTTGACCTTTTAAATAATTTCCCATTTTACCTGTTCCATTTTTTGTTCCCTGTGGGTATTTTTGTCTTTATTTCTTTGTAAATAGTAACCATGAACGTTTTATAGTGTATGTCTTATAATTCTAGTATCTGAAGTCTTTGACAAGCAGTTTGTTGTTTTTTACTCGTTCTGACCTATGGTACATTGTTTTGTGTGCTTTGACTACTAATCTAAATGTTGTTAGTTTGAACCTACCCAGCAACACCACAGAAGAAAGGCCTAGTGATCTGCTTTCATAGATTACAGCCAAGAAAACCCTATGAAACAATTCTACTCTAATATATGGGGCTGCCACAAGTCGGAATCAACTCAATGGTGACAGGTTTGGTATAGTAAACTGACAGAGTAGAACTGCTCCACAGGGTTTTCTTGGCTGTAATCTTTCTCCTGCAGAGCTGCTGGGTGGGTTCAAACCACCAACATTTAGGTTAGTAGTCGAGCGCTTAACCATTTGCACCACCAGGGCTCCTTTTATGAATGGTAGAGGTAGGATTTTTAAAAAAGTTTTATTGAGATATAATTCACATACCATAAAATTCACCCATTTAAAGTGTACTAAATTATTTTTAGTATATTCACAGGATTGTGCAAGCATCACCACAATCTAATTTTAGAACATTTTTGTTCTCACTAAAAGAAGCCCTGTACCCATTAGCGGTCAATCACCAAACATGAGCAAATATGCTCAAACACATGTTGTACATCTTTTCAGAGGCAGGGTTTTGAGCCAGGTAGTTCTGGCTCATTTGTGCTCTTTAGAGTAAATGTGAATAATCATTGTCTTTTCTTAATTGTTTCCCATTTGCTAGATTTAGTGGAAACTTTACCCAAGAGACCAAATGAAGTTTTCAATTCGAAACTTTAATTTAAATTGAGTAGCTTTTTCACTTGATATAAACCCACATCCCCAGGAACATTGTGGACTCAGAACATTATTTCATAAGCAGGCATTGCTGGTATGTTGTTGGGTGTCACATTTAGGCTCTCATTAACGTATCATTTCATGCTTCAGATCCATAACTAATTTCCACAAAGGGGAGGATGTTAAAAAATATAACCATCTGTGCACCATATCAAATGATAATCAACCTGAAATACATGTAAGTTCTAAGCTTTTTAAAACCACGTTATATCGTATACTGGCATACACAATACAAAATTTTTAAAAATCTTATCTGAACTGTTTTCTTCTTTCACTTTAGTATCACCAGGACACAATAAAAGTACTTGAAAGTTACATCACCCGTTGGACTTAATGAGCTGTCCGTTGTCAATGTCAGAAAGAGGGAACTAGATGACTAGCAGGCTTCATGGTAAAATCTGAAGATTGTCCCATACCTCAGCAGAACTGTGGACTACCACAGGAAACTTGGCAGAGGGGTGCATAAGGAACGGGCTGTTTTGCCGTTAGCTTGGTTTTAACAGCAATGATTTGCAAATAAGCCAGCTAGGATGGAGAGAAGGTTTAGAAGGAAGAAGTTGCGAATAGCTAAAGATGAACAGGAGTTTCTAAACAATGAATTAACTCAAGAAGCCTTAGGATTGTGTCAGCTTCAAAAGGGAAGGCTGCTGGTGATATATGGCTTTGAAGATGGGAGGTGTCTTACCTTCGACCCTCTTCTTCTTCCAAAAAAGGAGGAGGAGGGGAAAAACACCTTTCTAGATGTTTGCCATAAAGAATCTCTTAATCCAGGAAGATATTCCTCCACTAAAGCAAAAGCTTATTATGCAATTGGGAGCTCTTACTGAAAGATGTAGGCAAAGCGGTCATGTATCGCAGTACCCACCAGGATGGTGTTTGCAGCAAAGTCCAAGGCCACCAGGAAGTAGCTGTAATAGCACAAACTGAACAAGGAAGCCCTGGAGGGAGATGCTAGGTAGAAAAATTCATCAAAACTGTATCTACTTTTTAGATATGCACCTATGTAACGTGATCTCTGGCACATATAGCAGTTATAGTGGTCAATGTAGAGCAAAATGGGAGGGGAAATGCTAATTGCTCTTACATTGTTGTACCTTCCCTTCATCTTACAACTAATTGACCTTACTAAGTGTTCGTTCTTCAAAGGAGACCTCTTAAGTTCACTCATTAGTCAGCTGTCCCTCTCCACACTAGTCAATATTTAGCCATGAGTACATATGGGCATATGAGACCGTAATGTAAAAACAACGAAAAGAAGATAATCTACAGTTATCATAAGTTTCCACAGATGAGGAACAGTTAGTAGCAGCTCTGATTGAGTTACATCATCTCTTCTTTCTCCTCCCTTCTGCCACCACCTGAGGGTGAAACGGAAGGGACAAGGATAAGCTGGTATGAGGCCAACCATGTAGAACCTGCCCCAAGCTCTGACTCTTCTGGGAAGGAAAAATTCTTAATTCCCAATTCAGAAAGCACTGCTGCTTCAACATGACCAACACTCACTCACTCACTCACCTAGACTGAAAGATCTGGATTTCAGTGTAGGTGTCAGTTCTAACTTCACAATTCCTGGTCTCTCCTCATGAGATACTATATAAGCACGTATTTTTACCTCAAAAATATTGTTATAAAGACTCCTTTAGCAACAAAGAGATCGATTAACATAAGGTCCTCTATGCTAGGAAAGTACTACCCTTCGAAATGGGGCTATATTTACAAATTTTATTATGTTTCCCAAAAATACATATAAATGAAAACCTGCTCTTTAAAGCAGGGAGGCCTTGGCCTATAATGTAGTATTAGATTTACATCACAAAACATTCTCATATGAAAATCAGTATGCAGCTCTTTCACACAAATTTATATACAGACACACAAAATACATATGTAAGTAGATAATACTTTTCTACTTACACATATTCCTGTGGTAGAAATTTAGGAAACTGGGCAATTTCCCTGCTTTACAGCCTCAGGAAGGTAAATACAACCTCTCTGAACATTTTTTTCAAAGATGAAACATGTATAGTACACAAGCTCTTTTGAACATATACACATGTTGTTAGGATTGAGCAAGGACCCTGCCACTTAAGTGACACTGTACTTCTCAAAGAAAAAAGAAAAAAAAAAAAGATTAACATTTGAATAAAAATTCAAAGTTGGAGAACAAATAAAATGATCAAACTGTTATGTACATGCTCCATGGAGGAATCAGGAATCCTCGTACAGGGAACAGACCCATGACCCATTTCAGCCTCTCGTGACATTAAATCAGCACCTGCTGGCAGTAGTCATGATCTTCCTGTCCAGTCATATGCTTAAGCGGGCTCCATAAAGCAGCTGTTTAAGTGAAACAGTCTGTAATGAGGTCGTGTGGTAAATTCCCATCCCAAAAAAACTAAATGCAAAATCAACTTCTATGACTCAAGAGCTCAACCAGGTCAAAGCTTTGGTATATAGTGGAGGCTGTTTGGGTGATAACCAAAGCTTCAGGAGTTTGCTCCCAAAACAAAACAAAAACAAAACCTGGTCCACAAAGCTTAACAACTATATAAATAAAGTAACTGTACAAAGAGAACAAGCCACAATTTCCCCTTTAACCAAGGGTTTATAGTTTCCTAGGCAGCAGTTTCAAAAGCACCAACTAAAACCACAATGCTTCTACTAAAACACGATGTGTTGTGATTGGTGAGACTGTTCTGAAAACAAATGCCCACAGGCATGGATGTGGCTGATGTGCCACAGAAAAAAGTTCAACCAAACATAAGTCAGTTTTCTTAAATTGGAACATAAGCTGGTCAGCAACAGAGGAAAGACTTAAGGCAATAAGAGGCATTACAGAGAGCACCATGGTGCTCTTTGAGTCAATCTCAAAGCCTTCCAAGAAGGAAAAGGTCTCTCAATAGTTTGAGTCATTTCTTAGTTTGCTAGCTGTCGGACACTTCCTCCTCCTCTTCATCATCTTCATCTTCTTTCCTGTCTACTTCAGAAGTGTCGGAGGACTCATGAAGCAAGACATACTCTCTGCTACTGAACCCAAATTTAAGCACATCCTTTTCCTTCAGTTCATAATAACGCTGTGGCTCAATGCGCTTGTTGTTTAAGAAGGTTCCGTTGCCTGAGCCAAGGTCAATGATGTAGGGCTTCACCCTGCGGCCAACTGTTCCATCAGCACGGGTATACTCCACCAGCCTAGCAGAGATAAAGGAGAGCATATCAGCAAAATCCTGCCTCAGATCACCCAGCTTCTCTAAAGTTCTTTGTTAACACAGCCTAGATGACGTAATAACCTGGCTTGAACACAGTTTAAGTTAAAATTCTAGGAAATCAAGGAAAAAGAATAGCCTTGGATCAGTAAGTTGAAAGGCAGTTTAGATATACTTAGTACAAAAGGTGAGACCTGGCCACTGGGGGGCAAAAATCCATTGCAGATAAAAAGGTTGAAATGCAGAATCAAAACCAGACCTCAGAGTTCTGATCTGAAGCCAAGGCCTCTTGCCGTGGTTAACAAAATACACTTTTTGTGTTTCTTATAATCAATTTTCACCTATGCCTCAACATATTTTAGGTCCGATCCAAATGAGAAAACACAGTGGACTTAAAGACTTCAGAGTCAAAGGAGCTGGATTTGAGACAGAGTTCCACTATGGTGATTAGGCAAGTCACTTGTCTTTACTAAGCTTCAGTTTTCTCATCTGTCAAATGGGTATATTAATACCTGTCCTATCCACTTCACAGGTCTGTTGCGAGGATCAAATAATAGCTGTACTATGCAAACTATCAAGATTCAGATTCAGCTAACACATATGCCAGGCGTTTTTAGTTACATTCCCATTTAACCCTCATAACAGCCCTGTGAGGTAGGTAGAAACTGAGGCCCAGAGAGTGGCTTGTCCGAGGTCATATACCGTAAGTGGCAGTGGCAGGAGTCAAAATCTGGGTTTCTAAGAGCAAGTCCAATGCTCTTATACAAGTGTAAGGGATTATTCAAAGAACATTCAACTAGATTAATAACAGTCAAGATTAACATCAGATATGTGAGGTCTGGTATTCTCCTGCATATAGATATACACAAATCTTAGTAATCCTGAGACACTCAGCTTCTGCTAGCATTTCGGTTTCTTTCTGCAAATGTATACTTACCGATACTGAAATACTGCATGCTGCTTGGAACAAGAGGGATGGTCAATAGGAATATCAGCGATCCGGCGGTGTCGTCCCAGGAGGTAGGCACTCTGTCGATGGATGTACATGACTGGGAGCACCTCATCATTCTTAAAAGGGTAGAGACGCCATCGTTTCTTTGGGATACGTGCTTCTGGGGGCTCGCTGTATTTAATGACTACACCCCGGAAGGTGTTGGTGTCCTCAAGAAGTGCCCCAGAGAGTTCAAAGCTTGGCTTTTCTTTAACGGGAACCTCTTTTTCTTTATTGTTGCCACCAGGTCGAGGAACCAACTCCTGAGAGTCATTATCATTGCCACTGACTTCGTTCTTCTGGCGATGCTCCCGTCGTCTAGCATTATAAAATTCCCTCTCTGCTTCCTGAGCCTGCAAGTTCTGAATGTCTCGATCCCGTCCCTGAGCCTGGCCACTCCCAGGCCTTTCGTTAGAGGTCCTCCTCTGGTGGGAATGGACTCGGTGTCTCTCTCGGTCACTGTTCCTAGCTCGCCTGTGTTCCTGTTCTGATGGTTCCCGATGCTGCCGATCCTCCCGTCCCTTCCGGGGATGATCTTCACGTTCCTAAAATTCAAACAGATTCAGTCAATCAAAGGCAACCCACAATCTATTAACAAGTTACACCCAAAAGTTCATTTGTGATTTGGACTTTGGCATTCAAAACAAAATTGCCCACAGAAATAGGTTATCTGTAGTGGTTATGTCCCTTGCCAGGCCACAAAGACCATGTATCCCATGATGCTATTCAACTACAGCTCTAACAGTACAAGCCCATGTTCAGAGTCCTAAAAACAAGGGATTATTTGGTACAGAAAAGAGAAAGAAAAATAATTCCTTCCCTTCCAGAACAAAGGCAGCTTTAGGCACACTGAAAGGGAAGACTATATAGAAAATAGAATTAACAGAGTTAAATAGTCATGTATAACTATGTGAAAGGGAAAAAAAATCTAGCTTTCCTTTATGCCAACAATGAAAATGTAATATTTTAAAAGATCCCACTTCAACGGTAACAAAAATTATTAAATACCTAGGAATAAACTTAAGAAATATGCAAAACATTTAAGAAAACTGTAAAAATTTACTAATAGACATTTTTTAAAGACTTAAAGACATGGAGGTATGCTTACCCTCAACAATAACCAAAGCATCAATTTTAAAAGAAATACAAATTTTCTCTTCTCAAAGTAACAAAATTTAAAAGAGCAATAATATATAGTGTCAAAGAAGGTAGAGGAAAATGTATATTCTCAGCCACTGCTGGTGCAGGTGTAAATTGGTATAGCCTATTTGGGGCAATTTGGCAGTATTTAATAAAAATTTAATGAACCAGTAATCCCACTTACAGGAATCTAGCCTATAGATACACTGGCAGAAATTCACAAAGATATGTGTTCAATATGATGTTTACTGCAATCTTGTTTGTAATAACAAAACTGGAAACAACCTAAGGTCCCTTTAATAGTAGAATGGTTAAATAAATTATTGTGTATTTATACAAAAGGATACTTCATAGCCATTAAAAAGAATGAGATGACAAAAAGTTATCCAAAATAAATGGTTAAGCAGAAAGAAGAAAGGAGAGGGGAGCAAGCTTCACAATACATACAAAAATTCCTACCTTTACCAATAAGGCAAACCAGATACTCTGAGGGGTCTCCCCACTATAATTCAACTAAACAGTAGATAAAACATTTAATTTTTAAATGTACTGTTGGGCTCACAGAAAGCAAAACAAGTCTCTAAGGGGAAAAAAAGATAAACTAAACATGAGCTCAAAATCAAAGATCACTAGACACATAAGAAAACAAGCCACTGTGAGTGAGAGGCAGCAGACACAGCTCCTTTTGATTTAGATCCCCGAGGGCTTCAGACACTGGGTCTAAGATACAGAATAAGAACATCTGTGTATAAAAATGTTTAGACATAAAGGTTAAAAATTTAACAGCAAGCAACAAGAGATGACAAAACAACCAGACACTACAGGACCAGGGAGACAGACACCCTGACAAAAGTACACATCATCATCTATGAAATATGTTTATGCTTGGAGGGGAGAAAAAACAAAAAACCTGAATCTGACCAAGACTCTAGATCTGTCTATCAATTTATAGGAAATACGAGGGCCAGAGAATATGTTAAATAATTCCACAGGGATGCAAGCTACAAATAAATTGTAAGGAAAAAGAAAGGAAACAGGAATCTACAGATAAAAAGACTTAAGAGAAGCATCAGCCAATTGCAATGTGTAAACCTTATTTTGATCCTGACTTGAAAAGATAAATTTATATAAAAATTACAAGCCAATCACAGAATTCAGAACACTGACTAGATATTTAATGATTTTAGGGAATCATTACTAAAAACTTAGGTGGGATAATGGATTTGTGGCTATGTTTTTAAAAATAATCCTTAAAAGAGATAAATGTGCTGAAAATGAAATACGTCTTGGATTTGCTTCAAAATAATCTGGCGGGAGGAGGGAAGATAATTATGTAAAGAAAAAAAGCCAGCTTTCCCTTATGCCAACAATGAAAATGTAATAATTTTAAAAGATCCCACCTCAACAGTAACAAAAATTACCATCTCCCCCTTCTTCCTACCATACACAGGGGTTAAGAGGGGGCCTGCTTGCTTGGAGTAAGACCCCATTTCTCTAAACTTTCTTGCCTCAAAGACTACAGTGTTGTCAAAAGGGAATCTCAGACACCCACCTCTCCCTACCCCAAAACATTTTCAAGCTTGCCACCACTATCTGTCTTGAGTCCACCAGGACTAATCTCATTATGCCCTTTATCCCTGATTAAATGAATCACCACAAGAAGCCAGACTCCAGGTCAACACCCCTACCTCTCTGTGTTCTAATCCCCATAAGGCTCTGTACATCCACTATTCTGTCCCCACCCTTTTTCAACTTCTGTAACCATTTTCCATGCTCTCTGCAGTTGGAAGTTCAGCAAAATATAACCCTCAGCCTTTCCCCTGATAGTTTAATCAACTTTGCACCAACAGAACCCCCGACTCTGCCCTGATGACACTGCTTCCCTGAAGCGCTCTGAAATGGTAGCTGTTTTCCCCACAGCTCCCCTACCCCTATCCTTGGGCCTGGACATGAGGCAGGTCTCCTCCCTGCTTCTCACAGCCAATTCTAAAATACTCCCCAAGCCTACTTTCTCCCTAAAAATCTACCTTTGAATTCATATAAGACTATCATCACCCACTACTCTCATTAATGCTGTCATCTAACAACCCTAAAATCATTCCCTGTCATTTCTTGCCAATTTTACTTCTAACTCAAGCCACTCTCTCTTGGTGATTTCAGTAGCACAGAGGAGGTCCTTCCAACACGCTGGCCTCTCTGTCCTTTGAGTTCCTCTCTCCCAAACATGTTATTTGTCCTCCTTCCACCTCATCTACCTACTCCCATGGCTTTGCATACATAAACGTTTTCACTACCAATAACTGCAAATCCTCTATAATCTCAATTTCAATCAACCCTCTTTCTGATCACCATTTATCTTCTAGCTCATATTTTACTCCAACTCCTATAATCCTTCTACTCAATAAGCCATCCAATTCTTTGATCCTACCACCTTTACACAGTCCCTACTCTCTTGTCTAACTCTCTTCCCCTCTTGTCTAACTCAAATTCCATGGGCAAGCAGTATGAACTCTCCTTTGTACCCACATTCAAATCCCTTATCCCTGTCATTCTGTTACACTTGCTTGGCAAAACCACAACCTGCAACAAGCAGCTGAATATAGGTGAAGAAAAGCACAAACCATTCTGACCGGTCCCACCTTAAATGGATGACCATAAGTCTCCTTAACGATGTCCACCAATCACCCTACATTCACTCACCCACTCTCCCAGATAACTGTTTCAGCCCTTCTCTCTCCTCAAACCTCCAACACGGTCATCCTCCTCCTCCCTAACACAGTCAGAGGATCTTCCACATCCACCCACCTACCAATATCTGCACCTGTATACTCTGCCTTTCCTTCCTGTGACCATAAAAGAACTATCTGTGCTTCTGTCTAAAGCTAGTTCCGACACCTGGGAACTTGATTCCATACCCTCACTGAGAATATTATTCTAGCTAATTCTCCCCTCTCTCCTCCACAATCTATTTCCCCCTCCTCTACTGGATCACTCCCACCAGCACAGCAACATACTCGTCTCTAGATCCCACTTCCCATGTCAGCTTCTACCCCATCTCTTTACTCTCTTTATGCAGTAAATCTCCTCAGGAGTTTTTTTTTTTTTTAAATCATTGTCTCCAATTCCTTCCCTCCCTTTCTTCTTTCCCTTTCATCAGGTTTTCACCCCAATGTTGTTGTTATTTGCCATTGAGTTGATTCCAACTCTTGGTAACCCCATGTGTGCAGAATAGAACTGCTCCACAGGGTTTTGAAGGGCTTTCATAAGCAGATCACCAGGCCTTTCGGTGGGTTCAAACCTCCAACCTTTTGGCTAGTAGTCAAGCTTAAATATTTGAGACACCCAGGGAGACTCCTATACTCCATTAAAATTGCTGGTTAAGGTCACCAATGACCGCCACTTTGCTAAATCCAATGACAAGTTCTCAGTCTTCATTTTACTTAACTAGCAGCAGCATCTGACAGAGTCAATCATTCTGTTCTCAACACAATTCCTTCTCTTGGCTTTCAAGTCACCAGACTCTTGCTTTTCCTTCTCCCCAGTCTCCTTTACTGATTGCCCCTCTTCTCCCTGATTTCTCTGCCCTGGGTTCAGTCCTAGTTCTGCTCATCTTTTATCGATACTCATTTCCTTTGTTATTTATCTAATCCCCAATGCTTTAAATATATCTAAATGTAGATAAGGCCCAGATGTTTATCTCTAGCCCAGATGTCTCTCCCGAATGCCGCTGCCCACTCAACATTTCCACTTGGGTATCTAACAGACATCTCAAACTTAATATGTCCAAAACAACCTTAAAAAAAAAAATCAATTTTACAGAGGTATAAGTTACATACAGCAAAATGTACTCATTTTAAGTATATTTTGATGAGTTTTGACAAATTTATACAACCAGAGAACCACAACCACGTCAAGACATAGAACATTTCCATCACTCCAAGACTAAAAGTGAACTTATAAACATCCCCCTAGAATCTATTCTTCCCACATACTTTTCCCATCTCAGTTAATGGCAACTCTGCCTGCCCAGTTGCTCAGGCTCAAAACTTTAGAGAAAATCCTTCCGTTTCACACCTATAACCAAATTCTAAACTTACAAGTATATACCATGCAAAATTAATAAACTATACGTAGAAAATTACATAATCAGATAACCCAAAATAATCAAAATTTCAATATATGCCCTCAATTATTTGTAAGTCAAGTAGTGTAAGATATATAATACGGTTCCTTTTTTAAATTAAAAACTTGTGCATGGAACACACATACACCCTATACCAAAACATCAAGGAAAAAGGCGGACGTAAGTATAAAAGCAGCCTGAAGTATAAACATCAAATTATTATAATAGTTACCTTGGGGAGTGAGGTTTTTTTTTGGGGGGGGGGGAATAGAAGTGCAATTT